AGCTGCTCCCGAAATGTATATAGAGATTTGTACTGGCATAACAGGTAGAATGAATGTGGTTGCCATAGCAGTGTGCCACTCAGATCTCTTCAAGGAAACCTGATGCAAAGCTGGATGGGGCACCTGGGTGGCTAAGTTGGTTCAGCATCTGACTTCAGCTCAGGTCATGATCTCTTGGTCTGTGAGTTCCAGCCCCGCGTCAGGCTCTGTGCTGACAGCTCAGAGCCAGGAGCCTGCTTCAGAGTCTATCTCCCTCTCTCTGTCCCTCCCCCACTCAGGCTCTGTCTTTCTCTCTCTCTCAAAAATAAACATTAAAAACAAAACAAAACAAAACAAAGCTGGAGACATCACACTTCCTGATTGCAAACTACAGTATATTGTTAAGCTATGGTAATCACAACAGTATGATATTGGCATAAAATCAGACACATATATCAATGGAACAGAATACAGAGCCCAGAAAAACTCACACATATATGGTCAATATGGTAAATTAATTTAAAATGGAGCCAACAATATATAATGGGAAAAGGATATTCTAAGAAATGGTGGAAAACTGGACAACCACGTGCAAAAAGAATGAAATTGAACCCTTACCTTAAACCATATACAAGAATTAACTCAAAATCAATGAAAGAAAAAAAAAATGAGACACTTGAACATAGGGTTGAATTCATAAAACACCTAGGAGAAAACAGAGGGTAAGGCCCTTGACAATGGTCTTGGCAATAATTTTTTTGATTTCACACCAAAAGCAAAGGCAACAAAACCAAAGAGACTACATCAAACTAAAAAGCATCTATACAGTAAAGGAAACCAACAACAAAATGAAGAGGCAACCTATGGAACGATAGAAAATATTTGCAAGTTATACATCTGACAAGGAGTTAATATAAAAAATACATAAAGAACTCATATAACTCAATAGCAAAGACAAACAAAAACAACACAACCCAATTCAAAAATGGACAGAGGAACTGAATATAAATTTTTCCAAACACAAGACAACAAATGGCCAACAGGCACATGAAAAAGTGCAACATCACTATTCATCAGAGAAATGCAAATTAAAACCACAAGGAGCTATCACTTCACACCTATTAGAATGGCCAATATCAAAGAGACAGAAACGCTGGCAAGGATGTGGAGAAAAGGAAAACCTTGTGCCCTGCTGGTGGGAAAGTAAATTGGTACAGCCACTATGAAAAACATTATGGAGGGCCCTCAAAAAATTAAAAATAGAACTGCCATGTGATCCAGCATGTGCAACCCCATGTTCACTGCAGCTTTACAATAGTCATGGTATGGAAACAAAGTGTCCATCAGTGAATGAATGGGTAAAAATAATGTGGTATATAGATGCAATGGAATGTTATTCATCCATAAAAAAAGAAACCTTGCCATCTGTCTCAACACGGATGGATATTGGGAGCATTATGCTAAGCGAAATAAAGTCTGAGAGAAAAAGATATATACTGTAATGATCTCACTTATATGTGTAATCTAAAAAACAAAAAAATTCAGGAGAAAAGATGAGATTTGATGTTGGTCAGAGGGAGGTTTGCAGTGGGGGAAGGGGAGGATGGGTGAAGATAGTCAAAAGGTACAAACCTCCAGTTACAAGATAAAGGAGTTTGGGGGATGTAATGCACAGCATGTTGACAGTTAACAATGCTGTAAATTTCCAAGAGTAGATCTTTAAAAACCTCATCATAGGGGCACCTGGGTGGCTCAGTCCAACTTCAGCTCAGGTCATGAACTCATGGTTTGTGGGTTTAAGCCCCTTGTTGGGCTGTGCCGACAGCTCAGAGCCTGGAGCCTGCTTCAGTTTGTGTTTCCTTCTCTCTCTGCCCCTCCCCCACTCACGCTTTGTCTCTCAAAAATGAGTAAACATTAAAAAATTAAAAAAGAAAACCTCATCATAAAAAAAAAAATAACTGTGGTGACAGATGTTCATCAAACTTACTGTAATAATTCTACAGTATATGTACATAACAAATCATTGTTATACACCTTAAACTAATACAGTGTTACTGGCCAATTATATCTCAGCAAAACTGGAAAAAAACTTGTTACAAGCAGCCTCCAGCGGCAACTCCTTCTGATCCGCCCCAGCATTCATATGGAGGTCATGGTTTCTCCTCAGGCTGCTCCCGGCTCAATGCAGAACTACCCTAATGGCTAATCTGCTCTAACATTCCTCCATCAGGCTGGCAGAGATTTTCTGAGAAAATCTGTTGCTTTTATTGTCTTTTTTTAGAAGAATGTGTGGGGTTTTTTTTTGTTTATTCATTTTGAGAGAGAGAGAATCCCAAGCAGTCTCCACGCTGTCAGCGCAGAGCCCGACGTGGGGCTCAAACCCACAAATCGTGAGATCACAACCTAAGCCAAAATCAAGAGTTGGACACTTAACCCACTGAGCCATGTAGGCACCCCCTGATGCTCTTTCTACTCCACTTCCTTCTGTCACAGGCGTCAGGCTCACATCACAGTCTGAAGGCTTTTCCTGCCTACTGTTCCCTCTCTCTTGCACGCTTCACTAGCATCTTCTTCAAAACACCCTAGCACATCTAACTCCCTCTTGGTGTCTGCCTGCTGGAGGATGCAAAGTGACACTAGCATGGATGCTTTCACTTTTAAAATGACGATAATCAGGAAGTTAAAAAAAAAGTGGGGAAGATCATCCCAAACCATCTGCATCTCTTGACTCTACACAACTTTCAGGAACACAGATCTCAACGGCCTAATCCGTGTTGTCTCTCAAATTTATACTACACAAATTAAAAAAAAAATTTTTTTTTCAACGTTTATTTATTTTTGGGACAGGGAGAGACAGAGCATGAACGGGGGAGGGTCAGAGAGAGAGGGAGACACAGAATCGGAAACAGGCTCCAGGCTCTGAGCCATCAGCCCAGAGCCTGACGCGGGGCTCGAACTCACGGACCGCGAGATCGTGACCTGGCTGAAGTCGGACGCTTAACCGACTGCGCCACCCAGGCGCCCCTACTGCACAAATTTTAGATGTCATGGAGTATCAATAGCTGAATACTCTTGTGGCCCCTTGTAAAACCTGCTTCATGAAGCCCTGACTTTTAAAGGTTGGTTTTTTTTTTTTTCCCCCTGAGTAATTAGCAGCTGAGTACAGGGGAACTAAAAACAAATTAAACTAAACAACCCATCAAGGTCATCCATTTGAACTTTATTTACTGAACCTTCAAGTATTAAGAAACTTGAAGGACTCCGTGCTAAATCACATTTTGGTCACATAAATCCCATCTTTCTGTTCAGATATTTCTACTTAAGCTAACTTTCATGGTGATATCAACTCTTCCTTGACTACCAAAGCATCATTTTTGGTTCACTACACAGAATTTCAATACACCAGTTTTCCTACCACAGCAAGTAACTCTACCGTTAACAAAGCCTCCAGTTTAGAGAATTGTTAGTTCGTTGATTACTTACTGCCTAAGGTACATTCAATCCACCCATTCCTCTAGAGTAGGTGTCAGCCTGTTTTGTATCACCTATGAGCTAACATGTTTTTAAAGAGTTAAGAAAATATTTTTTGAAAAGCAACAGAGACCATATGCAGGTGGTAAAGCCTAATATTTACTCTTTGTCCTTTCACAGAACACAGAGTTTAGGTATGTTTCTGATCAGTTTTTTGTTTTTTTAATGTTTTATTTTTGAGAGAGGAAGAGAGAGACAATCTGAAGCAGGCTCCAGGCTCCAAGCTGTCGGCACAGAGCCCGACGCAGGGCTCGAACCAACGAACTGGGAGATCATGACCTGAGCTGAAGTCAGAGGCTTAACCAACTGAACCACCCAGGTGCCCCCTGAGCTGTTTTCTTAAAGGCACCAGTGCTGACAAGATATAGGGCAGTGGTTCTCAAACATTGGTGCGAGTAAGTCACTTGAGTTTGTCAAAAAGCAGGTTTTTGGTCTAGGGCCCTAGAATCTATATTCTAAATAAGTAATTCAAGTGATTATGATATAGGTGGTTGTAGGTCATTTTGAGGAAATTTAAATTTTTATCATTGAGGGGCGCCTGGGTGGCGCAGTCGGTTAAGCGTCCGACTTCAACCAGGTCACGATCTCGCGGTCCGGGAGTTCGAGCCCCGCGTCAGGCTCTGGGCTGATGGCTCAGAGCCTGGAGCCTGTTTCCGATTCTGTGTCTCTCTCTCTCTCTCTGCCCCTCCCCCGTTCATGCTCTGTCTCTCTCTGTCCCAAAAATAAATAAACATTGAAAAAAAAAAATTAAAAAAAAAAAATTTTTATCATTGAATCAGCTCCGACCATCAAGAGGACTTCTTACTGTGCTGGCTTTAATGGATTGCATTTTAGTGTCACGATACTGATCTGCATTGTGAGCTATCTCAAAGATCAGAACATAATCCCTCTCCAGTGCAATAAATTTGCTTCTATCCTAAGGTTACTATGAATCTTCTAATTACCGTATTCTCTTCTGCCAATTTTGTTCCACTTCCAAGCAAATGTATAGGACCTCATAGCATGCATTTGCATGATTTTAATCCCTGTTTCACCCAATTTTTGCCCTTTATTTTGGCTTTATCTCAATCTTCTCATTTTGTTTTAATATGTCTGTTAAGTCACTTCAAACCATTTCTGGGAGGACAAGTCATACCACCCTAAGTGATTCCTTACAGTGCATGATATGCCTATTCCTCACTTGTTTCATTCTCCTGAGTTAGAAGAAAAAGTATTTTTGTTATGAGCTGATAGGGAAAAACTGGAGCAAATATGAGATAAAAGGTATCTTATATAAATCAGTCACTGAAGTGTGGAGACAAGGAATAAGCAGTGCAGATTAGGAAAAATACTACATGTGTGCACAATGTTCCAACCACAAAATCTTGCGAAAGGAGCTTCAATAGGAAAAGTGGAAAATGATCAACAAAGAAAACTTTATGGACTCTAATTCTGAGATGAAAAGATTCAGCAGTTCTTGAATAAGATATCCAAAACCAAAATTTATATAATTAAAGGACAATTAGTATTTATTATTCAACTATGTGCTAAGCACTATACATGTATTGTAGCAAAGCTATACTTACACATTAATCTAGTAAAGTACAATTGTTTCCGTTTTTTTTTTACAAATACCCCCCTATGGCTTGAAGGGGCTGACTTGTCCAAAGTCCAGGTAAACAGTAAATAATGGGATTAGAATTTGTATCGACACCTGACAACAAAGAATATCCATATGTTTGGTCTGAGGTACTAGGGCTGCCTCCGTATGCACATATATGTATCAGATCTTACATAGTTCAAATATATTAGGTCAGACATGATCTCTAGTCACAAGAAGATTAAAACGTAGTGAGTGATGCTGTGATGAGTGTGTGGCAGAGCCTTGTCAGAGTGAAACAGAAAAAAGGCTGGATTTCTTCAGAGATTAAAAAACAAACAAACACAGAAACAATTATTTAGCATAGACAGATAAAGAGGGATGAAAGGGGCAGAGGTAAATCCACGTAATACATATTTATAAGGAAAATGATACATATTTTAATGCCTACGTACCAAGGGGAGTAATCATTTCAAAACATATCATAGAAAGATCAGTATGTCAAAAACAAAGGAGTTTCATCTTGCATACTGAAGAAAAGAATAAAAAGAATGACACATGTGGAGCTAGACTTCAAATCTAGCCATATGGACTGAAGTGAATTCATACAAGATGGAGTGGGCAGAAATGACTGCCAAAAGAACAAATCACACCCCATACTATTTCATTCCCAGTTCTGGTGTTTTTATTTTAGAAAACACATTGAATCAAACAGGTTAGAGCTACTGCTTCCTTGTTCTGTGTATTTCTATCCTCCATTTCAAAAACCATACAGTCAAATCTATCTTCGTCCATTCTGTGAATGAAGTGATAAGCAAAAAGGATCACTGGTTACTTCAAAAGAACCTAGAGGGGGAAAAACACATATAGCTCACTTAAACCACAGATTTAAACAGTTTTTATAATTAATATGAGAAAAAGAAAATATTGAAAATTAACTAATGTGACAAAATATTACAAACTGTCTAGATTACAAAAAACAAAAACAAAAACAAAAAAACCAAAAAACAAACGCACAACTAGGTTTTTTGTGATTACCACACTTTACCTTTGTGATCTCAGTTGAAAAAGATATATACTAAGGTATAGTCTGTTATTCTGACATACAAAGATGTATCAGCAATATTATCCCTTAACAATCCTATTATATAGACAACTGGGGTTTACTGTCGCCAGGAAAATTGTACCAAGAAGAAAACCTTGAGACAAGAATAATCCTTGCACAAGATCACACAAAATAAAACAAAATTATTATACCAAAATGCCTGAACAAAATTAAATTTGAATGTTATATTCTTACTCTATTACCCTAGGTTACTTTTTTTTTTTAATTTTTATTTTAAGTAGGCTCCACACCCAGCATAATGCTTGAACTCATGACCCTGAGATCAAGAGTCACAGGCTCTACTGACTGAGCCAGCCAAGAGCTCCTAGGTTACATTTTCAACAAATTAGACAATGAACAATAAATTTTGATTCTAATTAAAGTTCAAGTTGGCCATCTCTATAGGATCCAGAATTCAAGATGAAGACAAAAACTGTTTGAAAAGACATACAAATTCTAGCCCTATTAATTGAGGTGGTATATTCTTGTGTTCCATGTAAGTATACATAATGTCATTCAGCATTAGAATAAATGATCTTTTTTGATAGAAGGTGACTTCTTTTTACACTGTTTCTTTAAAAAAAGGAACAAAAGGATGCCACATATTTGGGGCGCCTGGGTGGCTCAAACGGTTAAGCGTCTGACTGTGGCTCAGGTCATGATCTAGTAGTTCATGAGTTCGAACATTACATCAGGCTCTATGCTGACAGCTCAGAGCCTGGAGCCTGCTTCGGATTCTGTGTCTCCATCTCTCTCTGCCCCTCCCCCACTCACGTTCTGTCTCTTTCTCTCTCTCCCCAAAATAAATAAAACATTAAAAAAAATTTTTTTTAAGTTGCCATATATTTATTTAGTCAATGGTATCGGTTATTCTAGCTTCATGTTACCGTTCATCCATGTATACACAATCATCCCGTTTAACCATCCACTTGCCCCATTGCTAGTCTAATAATCTGCTAGAAAATAAGGAATTTCAGAACAATGTAAAGTTTTTGTTGTAGACTGATTCATTTTCCAGAATAGGAATGCAAGGCAGGCAAGAAGACAGGTAGAAGATTAATGTTATACTAGGTCTAAGGAATCCATTCTGTTCTCCCTTAACCAGAAATTGCAAAGAATCTGAAGACCTCTTTGTGTCTTATCTTAATAAGGGACATCATCACCAAACCCTGTAAATGATGTAATCGTTAATTTTACATATAAGCCATTTAAAATAGCCACCCACAGCTAGCCTTCATATCCTTCATTTGAAGGGACTCCCCACAAGATAACCACAAGCACAAACAGTGATAACTTTCCATTGGTGTATCACAGCTCTCACTGCAGAACATTTCATTTCTTCAGCGACTACAACAGACTTTCAAAGATCATGATAAAATGAGCACTTTATTAGCAGGTAGGAGATTTGGGTCCTTATTCCGGTTCTATAATCTTGGGAAATTTAATAACTTCTCTGAACCTTAGTTTCCTTACTAGCATATTCAAGATTACAATATATAGCCTCCAAGCTTGCCAGCTTAGAAATTCTAAACTTCTATGGCAGGCCCTTGTATGCTGGTAGTTCAATCTGTTATTACATATATTAATAGGAAGCAGGACTCCATCTATCCATCTATTCATTCATTCTTTCATTTATTTAGGACTCCTTTTCTTTAAATAATAATTTCTCCTCTGGATATCCTGTTTTCACTGTCTATAAAATTTGAAAACAGGTATTTGTGCACTACTTTAAGAAAGTTAATTAACACTTCTAAAATCTTCACATGTATATCTTAGAAAAGATTTAGCTCAATTGCTATTAACTTTTATCTTAAAGGCTAAAATTTTATTTTCTCTCCAGTTATAAAGTACTAAAATTGCATATTTAAAAGTTGCTGGGAGTAGATCTTAAGAGTCCTCATCCCAAGAAAAAAAATTCTGTAATTATGTACAGTGATGCATGTTACCTAGACTTACTGTGATGATCATTTACCAATGTATATAAATATCGAGTCACTGTATTGTACCTGTAACACTAGTATAATGTTATATGCCAATTACATCAATAAATTTTTTATTTTCTCTGGTTAATGTCTACAAAATAATGACTGCTTTGCTCATTTTCTAATTTCATTAGAAACTTTAAAAAATCAGGGACAATTTGAAGTTAAAAGTCTAGATGAAATTAAGAACCATAGGACTTTTCTTCTGTCCAAGTGCTCATAAAACAGCTTGGTTTCCAGCAACAATAAAGACATTATAGTTAAAATAAACATGTAGCTGAGTAAAGAGACCTGCATCTCATTATAAATTTCAATTCTTAACTCTTGGGACTTAAAAAACCTCAATTTCTTCTATTCAGCCTCACCAACTTCTAAAATAATCACACTGTTGACACTCTGATTAACATGTCTTAAGGCAGTTATTGATGCAAAGAAAATAAAGCTGTTTACCCGAGCAGATACAGACGCAATACAGAGAATGCAAATGAAAAGGGGGAGACACACATACAGAAAAGCAGGCAGGCAGAGATGAAAAATGGCAACAATGGAAAAGTGAAATTCTGAGGGAATGAATGAAAGAAAGGGAGAGGCATACAGGGAGACAAAGGCGAGGAAGAGTTACAAAGACAGGGAGGCAGAAGCACGACTAAAGAAATGGAAGAAAGTAAGAGCAGAGACAGTAAAGCCAGAAAGAAAAGTGAACAGAATGGAACTGACGGGCAGACACAATAACAAGGAAATGGGACTAGATAGGGGATAGCTAGTTGAAGAAAAGATCATTTTTAGCCCCTAAGTTTTTCAAATTACATTAAAAAAAATTTTTTTTTTTATTTTTTAGAGACAGAGTGTGAACAAGAGAGGGGAAGGGGGGAGAGGAAGGGAGGGGGGACGGAATCTGAAGCAGGCTCTAGGCTCTGAGCTGTCAGCACAGATCCCGACGTGGGGCTCGAACTCACGGACCTTGAGATCATGACCTGAGCTAAAGTTGGACGCCTAACCGACTGAGCCATCCAGGTGCCCCACCAAATTACATATTTTTATTGCTATCCCCCCAATGTGCCACTAAAAAGAGGACAGCCTTTTTTTCTATAAAATGGCTAACAATGTGTATTTCACTTATCTTACAGATTTTCTAAAAATCTGACTCACTGTGAGACGCGTAATTTTTGCCATCTTTAAGGTTCACATAGTGGATGTGTTGATAATTTGATGAGAGAGAAGTTTACAATGTATATACCTATCAAATTATCACATTGTATGCTTTAAAAACACAATTTTGTCAATTATACCTCAATAAAGCTGGGGAAAAGGTCATATATATCAATATACTGGGGAGAGACCCCTAATTTTACACATTGCTATTTTTTTAATGTTTATTTATTTATTTTTGAGAGAGAGAGAGAGAGAGAGAGAGAGCGAGCATGTGAGCAGGGGAGGTCAGAGAGAGAGGAGAGAGGACCAATCTCAAGCAGGCTCTGGGCTGTCAGTGAGGAGGCCAGCATGGTGATCAATCTCACAAATGGTGAGAACGTGACCTGAGCTGAAGTCAAGAGTCAGACACTCAACCGACTGAACCACCCAGGTGCCCTAATTTTTTTTCCCCCCGAAGTATAAAGTGATAGGACCCTAGTTAGGCCAAATTTATCCTAAGGCAAAGGCCTACAGGGCCATTTATGATTACATACTACAATGGCATATAACACCACTATCCCACTATCAGACTAAAAACACATTTTTAGTTGAAAATAACTTACCATTCAGAGTGAAAATCCAAAAATTTTTGTCCTGTTTCCATTATTTGCCCCCTTTGCTTCAATTGATATGTTATGCTCTATCTCTTGTCCTATGGAGATTCTTTCAGTAGCCATCAATCTGAAGAATTCCTTCTTCTGCTGCCACCTACCAGTTTATTTCTCTGCTGCAGCAGAAGGGTATATAGAAAAAGTTCTTGCTTACTATTCAGATTAAACTGAAAACTTCCTTTAACATTTCATATTTTCACATGTGCACAAACTTCCTCACTGTTCCCCCAAGTCCTCCCCACCAAAGTCAAAACAACAAAAGTCCCAATCACAGAAAATCAAACAAGTATGATCAATATTCATGCTAAGCTGGGAATTCTTTTTAAGTGGAAAGATTTAGATGCTCGGCAGCTGCCATCTCAAGAGCCATTTCTTCTGTTACACTTAACTTCTTCACCTATCTCTACAATCTTATGAATAAGTGTGCAACTTAAAATTTTAACTAGGTAGTTTACAGCTCCTACAAATTTTAAGCTCAGAAACTTTCAAAAGAACTGTGGAAGATGCAGCAATAAAGGCGTTTTTTAAAGTAATTCTAGAAACTAAAGGTGTTAGGTGCTTTACCTGCATGAGTTTTCAATGTTCTGGACTGCTTATTGCCCAATGGCTCTGAATACATTAAAACACGAACACATACGCCACCTACATTTAAAATAGGGTAGCATTTGTATGCCCATATAAGCACTGGGTATATCTTTTGCAAAAGAGTAATAAATTCATTAAGTCCTTTTAAAAGGACTAATCACAAATGCACATTTCCTCAAACTCTATACATACACAAAAAAATTAGGCCAAAAAAGGGAGACAGAGTGACAAATGTAATAGCAGTTGTAGAACTGGAAACTAACACAACATAAATGTTTTCGGTTTGTTAAATTCCTGAATATCATTTCTATTCCCATTCTTTTTAACCTGAGGGTCTAGGTTAAAAGTTTATTCTGCATTAGCTACTAAAGAACAGTATCCAATAAGGAACAGTAATAACAGTAATTAATGGCTTGTTTTTGTTCCACCCTCCCACTACCTTTACCCCAAAATACAGTTTTGCCAACATAAAAAATAAAACAAACAGACATAAGCACCAAAGGCTAGTCAACAGTGGCACTGCAGCAACATTGTTTCTACTTTCTCATTCCTTCCCCCGATCTCAAACCCCACCCTTTGACCTCTGTATATGGGATGAGCCTGAGCAGGAGAGTTGGTGATGTCAGGACTGCGCCGTTCCCACGGATGCTCCTAGAGGCCTGCTGTGCTTCTGGGAACTGGGGCACAGTGATGTCTGTCTGACTGAAACCTAAAACAACAACAATTCACCCCACCCCTCATGTTCCCAAACCCCACAACAGCAGCCAGGTATATACGCTATATAAGGCCCAGCTAGTAAGTTTGTATATAGTGAAATCTGAAAGCAAGATCATTCTTAACAAGTCAGGGATCTTCATGGGGATAACAGAATGGAGACTGTTAAATTCTCCACATCCCATGCAATCACATAGTCCACACATTCTAATATGCTGGCCATTCTTATAGCAAGAGAACAAAGTTCTCTGGTACAAGCCTTTTTAAGTATATATCACAAATTCCTGCAGGAGGCAGCTGGGATTCCATTGTTAGTAAATTTCAGTTCAACAGATAAATACTTTTCTCTTAAGATGTTTAGGGGAGAGACTGGTCCTATCTGGTTATGGGTGAACTGAAGCACAAAACAGGTTAATGATTTATTTTATGCCTTCAGCTGTAGAATGCATTACAAGCCAGGATTTTCCTATTAGCTAACTAGTGAACTTAAAGCCTCGTCGGATATACATCTAAAGCCACAGAATAAAATTACGCAGAAGTATATCTTGAAAAGTTCCTGACCGCTGTCTAGCAGAAAGAGGATTTTTCTCCCCAATGATAGTAACTCATATTAGAACTAAAACTTTAGGAAAGACAGGAGAAAGGAGGAAAGGGTAGGTGGACTGGGGTAGACAGAGAAGAGGCTACTACATTAGCTAATGGGAAGGCTATTAAAATGGGTAACTCCTATTCCTGCCACTAAGTTTGTTTTATAGCCTTGGTTAATGTGCTTAATGATTTGTGCTTCAGAAATGCCCTCCGATCTTTGCAAATCTGTAATTTTTTACTGTTTAAACCATTATGATAACCTCAAGCTGCTCACATCTATCTTCTTTGTTAGAACTAGCATCTTAGAAATGCTAAAATGATTAGTTCTGAGTCACACTGTTCCTTAAATAACTGAAATGCTTTCTATTATCTTTGTCTCATCATTCCTTTTCACTTTTATAATGATGTCACAGAAAGAGAAGCACTAAGACCAACTCAAGACTATGATGAGTTTTTACCATATATATAACCTAGAACCTAATTTTACCTTTTCAAAACTCTAGTTTTCCATACCTGGCAACTCCTAATTGATGTCTTTATACTGTGAGCTCACTGTATTCGGAACACCAACCCCTGAAAAAGCTTAAGCCAGAGTAGCACAATGGAAGAAACAAACAAACCCAAAACAAAAACAAAGCCAAAAAAGTCACACTCTGAAATACTTAATTATAGACATATATGCAAGGAATGGAGTTATCTAAATGGCTAAAGTAAATCCCCAAAGTCCTGAGTTCATCCCAACCAACTCAAACTTTACCCCCAAAAGTTCTTCTTTAATCAAATTATCTGTTAGATATGCGTTTTGTTTCTTTTTTTTTTTTAAACAAGAGTTTTTACAGACCCACAGTTGCCGTTAAAGTACATAAAGAAAGAAAATTTTTTAAAAAGAAAGTAAGGTTAGCCTTGCGATGGAAAGAAAGGAGAGTCAAATTACCTGCAAGCAGGCTGGGGCTGTGCCTGAATCCAAACCGCTGCATTTACCATTCATTATACAGCTGCATTATTGGGGGAAGGGGAGTTTAGAAGGGCACTGACCCCGAAAGTTCTCAATACTTCTCACTCATCATCAGGAAGGGGGAAGAAGGAAAGTTTTTTCTCTGGGTATTTTTTTGTTTGTTTGTTTTTGTTTTTTTGGCTCCTGAAAAGGCTGGCAAAGAACAGTAACAGTGCAAGCAGTTAGAATATTTCTTTAAAAACAATTTTTAAAAATGCAAAACATTAAGGAATTTAAAACACCAAACTTTCGTTAATATAGAAAGAATTTTCACTAGAGTTAGGCAGCCACCCCAAAACAGCATGGCAAAAGGGCACTGATAAAGGAAATAAAATACCACACAAAAATCCAAAACAAAACTAAAAACATTTCAAATTAAACCTGGAAGACTAGAAGATTCCAACAGCAGATTTCTGTCCACTACTGAAACATTCCAAAATCCAAGCTTCAAAGGCGCCTAAATGTATCTTAAATGAAACTTTGTTTTGTTTTTTTTTTTAAGAAAAAAAAAAAAAGAAAGAAAGCAGTGAACCTGGTTATAAATCCTGCAATATATTACATTTTAAGATATCCTAATACAACAAAAACAAATTTTAAATGAAATTAAACAAACAAACAAACAAATAAAAACAGTAGCAGCAGAGGTTACCTGTCTGAGCACCTACATTTTCTTAGGAGGGGATCGTGTCTCACCAGCCATATAGCCCATAAACCTTCTCAAAAAGAGTGAGCCAGGAGAAAAATGTAACACAAGATTTGATTTCACAACGTCTCTAAGCTCCCCAGACCCCAAACTGGGGATTCACTGAATGAAGAGATTTTGTTTTTCCATCGTTTTCCTCTTGAGAAAAAGAAGAGATGATTTTGAGTCAATTACTTCTTTCAATGCCTTCGATACCTTCTCAAAAGTCTGATAAAGTGCTTGATGAAAGCAAGTCTCTTGATGGATTTTTCTAATGTTCCAGCATATTTTCTTATTGATAGCATATACAGAAAGATTTCAAAGTTCAGTGGAGTAAAAGCCAGCAGAAATGACCAATCAATTATTAGGCACCAAAAAAAGAAAAAAAACTATTAAAAATTTTAAATGGAATCGTTCATATTTGTGTATGTGTGTGTATGTGTGTGCATAGTCCAGTTTTCATCACAGGTAACATAAAAACAATATCAGAATTACTTTTAAAATACAATTAAGAATTACAATTTTAACAATACACAATTTTACAATAATTCAGATTTGGGCATGATAAGACTTATACATATTTGATAAATATACATTTTTACCTCTCATAATAGCAATGATAATACAAAAGTTGTTAAACAATAAGAAAATATATTTAACTTTCACTTCAATATCTGGGAAGTTTCATTTGGGTTCTTCCAGAATGATCTGTTCATATTCTTTACCTTAATTTTTGAGTGAGTTCAAGAAGATACCCATGTTTTAAAGTCTAAGATGACCATTCCTACCCTTTTCCTTTTAATATGTGAGTGTATGATCCAGAAATAGGTTGGTAAGGCTATGTTTTAATATACTGTGAATGCACAAAAGATCAATCAGTAGTGAATAAAACTAAAGGTGAAATAATCTCAGATAATTCTTATGATATAGTTGGTTAGTTTGGTAAAAAAATTTTTAAAGTCTATCTACATTTTTCCTAGTGCCTTATCCAACCCAACACAAATCCTGAGTTTTTCATCAAATAGAGAGGGTGTTCTATTTATGTTATAAAATTCATAAATCTATATACATGTTATATGTAACTATTTAATGTGTCATAATTTATGTGACAACCAGATGGTCTCTACACAAACATATGAATAATGACTTAATTAAGCAGTTCTTTCTCCCTCATTTATCTCTCTATCCCAAATATTATGCATCCTCCTATGGTCATTCAGTGAAAGAAGTACCATGTATTTCTTTTTGTTAATGAGACAGAGGTACTTATATATGTATGTAAGGCCCACAATAACTCTATGCAAGTCAAATTCTTTTATAGGAGATTAGAATATCCTAAAATAAATTAGAAAATCCTCTTATTATCTTTTTCTGAGGTGAAATGAGACACTGCACAGATTAGAGGTACTATTCTATTTGTCAACAATCAACCTTTCACTCAATTTTAATATTATTTAATTCTATGGAAAAAAACAACCTTTATTACATTCCTTTTTAAAACGGGGAAAAACTGTACAAGCATGATCAAACCTCTGTTAGAGCTGGTTAATACTGATCTTTTATTATTGCCTCGAAGTCTCTCTAGTAGTGTCCAAGATATTATGTTTAAGGTCCATCTGAAGGAAAAAAGCACTGGAGAGGCAAGAAAGGACTCGGGTAAAAGCTTCAGAGGATTGTAGTGAGATGGAACTTGCTGTTTAAAAAAATTACGTTGAGCTCTGGAGCATCTCCATTTCTTAACACACCTTCCAAACCCATTATTCAAATAGATTTACCCCTGTTTCAAAGGCTCGTATTATATGCCATTTGGGGGATCTTATAAATTCAGAAATTAAAGGAATATAAAGAATGGACAGTATTGAAGGCTTCAGAGTTGGGCTATAAGAGACTTAATACTGCTAAGTAAGTCCCCAAACAAAAATGTCCAGTCCACCCCACCCTCAAACCTACATGTAATAGGAGAAAATGCACAGCCAGAAGCATAGAAAAGCATGTAGCCTTGAATAAATCATACACTGAACAGTCTAGAACCAAAGAAAAAACCAAACAACATACATATACATAAAAAGGCCTAAGAAGCATCTATTCTCTTTATGTCTTTAGTGAGTACCTCTACCCCAGTGGAGTATAGTTATTAAAACAACCTATCTGTTTTTTAAAGTAAAAACTGTTTCCCCATCATGCTCCATTTTCTAGAATCTATCTTTTTTGATTGTTTGGTGAAACAAAAAGCAAAACACATACACATGCATGCGTGCACACACACACATATATACTCCCTCCTAAAATGTGAAAAATGCAAATATATAACGCTGGTATTATAAATCACTTCAGCTTTATACTAAAGAACTCATAGACCCTTGATTTGCCCCCCAAAAATATTTTTCCTTGTCCTTATACTTTAAATGCCCAACCACCAAAAGAAAAAAAGGAAAAAATAAAAGGCTTTAAATGCACATGTTTCAAGTCAGTGTCTTGTTAACAAAAAAGGTAGCACTTTCTTCACTTTGGCCATTGTTAAAGATGCAGGCATAGATCAGGGAATGTTAGACTAGCATGTATTAAAAAAAACTGCAACATTAACAGAGCATATATCTTTCAAAAAAGATTAAAACACTAACAAATACAAGTCAATGCACATATTTTAAACTAGTGTAATTTTATCTACATTGGAGTAAATGTCATCTTGTGTACCAGACATTGCAATACTGTTCATTTCCCTTTTATCATGCAAAAATGCCAATTTTGTCATTAGAAAAAACCTTTATTGGGTTATATTAATACTGCCCTCCCACCCAAATGAAGGGAAAAACCGAAGCACAAAAATTATAAATCCCAGCAAAATAGCTCTTCAAGATTTCATAAACTACGGACATAAAGTTGCTAGTTAATATGGTAAAGGCAGAATTTTCAGACTTGTATAAAAAAATTCCTATAATTTAGGTAGATTATTTTCCTCGCTCATCACAAATCTTTGCAACACAATGTGAAGTTATCCTACTCTCAATTTTGTAGCAACTATACAAAAGCAAAAGCAAGGGACCATGAAAAAAAACTGTGTGTTCTTGATGGTCTGAGAGCATACACATTTTTGAGTGATTAAAAGGTTAACTATAAGAGCCTGATGTGTTTCTGTATCTCACCTCTTCTGCCTATCTGCACTATCCGTAAACAAAAGTCAGTAACATCTTAACAGCAGAGGTCTATCTCTCTCCCCTGTCTTCTCTCCTAACTAATCCTACTCAATTTTCTCATCTTCCTGAGTACCTTCCATGAACAGCATTGCAAGTTGGTTTAAAAAAAAAAAAAAAAAGGAAAGAAAGAAAGGGGAAAAAAAGAAGAAAAAGAAAGTGAGTTTTACAAGGGTTTTGTTGGTTAATTATTTACCGGTGGAGTCACTCCACCAGGAGTTTGATTTCATTGGCTAGCAGCTGGTTCATGTTGAATAGGCCCCCTGGGAGCTTGGTGAGTAGCTCTCGCTCCGTGCTTTCAGGGTCGCTGTCAACAGAGCTGGAACTTGCGCTCATGTTGTCGACAGCAGTGCTGGCTGGGGGACCCAGCTCCGGCTCACTAGTCTCACTGGCCGTGGACACCACGGAGAGCAGGGACATACGCCGGGTGAGCCGGCCAGAGGGCAGGAGGGAGGCGGCATAGTCCGCTATGATACCAGCTACATCTAGATTACAAGCCTTATCAAAGGCGATGAAACCTACATTTGCATTGGCCTCGCAGACACAGAAGGAGCCGTCATCTTTCATCAATAGGTCAATGCCACACACATCCATCCCCAGGATATTAGACACCTGGATAGCTAGCTGCTTTCCTTGTTCACTCAAGGAGCACATCATCCCCACACCACCTGGCAAAAAAAGAAACAAAATAAGTTGCCAAAATGATACATTTTTGGAGTAAAAACACCGTTTTTAGTTTTTTTTTTCTAATTTATTTTTGAGAGAGAGACAGAGCATGCGTGCAGGAGAGGCAGAGAGGGAAACACAGAATCAGAAGCAAGCTCCAGGCTCTGAGCTCTCAGCACAGAGCCCAACATGGGGCTTGAGCTCATGAAACTCGAGATCACGACCTGAACTGAAGGTGGATGCTTAACCGACTGAGCCCTCCAGGCACCCCAGAGACAGAGAATCTTAAACAGGCTCCACACTCAGCGCTCAGGGCTCAATCTCACAACACACTCTTTTAAATCAGTAGTGAAAGCAAAGGTGCCATATGCAATTTTTTTCTGAAGACGGCATTCAGCTTCCACAGAAACCTATCTTACTTGCAATACTACGGATTGAGGTGAAGGTACACCACAGACTTTATATTTTTATGAAGGCAGAGAAGAATAGAAAACAAAGTAGACAAAACTGTTATCTTCCAAATAGCAGAAAATGTATGTCTGATTTGAACACAGGGACACAGAGGTTAACCGTTAATGGAATGTAAAACCATGGATGAGCATCCACATTGACTGAGTTTGGGAACAAGGGTGGAAATGGAATTAATGGTACCTTACAAACCACAGAAGTTGGAAAAGAAAAAAGAGGAAGAAGCAATTTAAATAATAAACACAAAATCAAACTGAAGCAATTAAATAAACTGTATGAGCAATAACATTAAAAACGAACTGAAATTTCCCATGGAAAAAGTGGAAACTAGTCAGACTGGAATGAAAGACAAAATTTAATTATAGGCTGTATTAAATGAAAACATTTTTTGAAAACTAAAGGAATGGACAAAGAGATAAGGGACAAAGGCAAAAACAAACTTGACTTCATAGCCTTATATCTCTTGAATATAGTATATACCGATATACACATTTTTTCCTTTATCAAATACTGACAAATAATCATGTGCTTGTCCCAGGAGACAAACAAAAAAACCTTAACAAATTTAAAAACACTTTTTACAGGCAACATTCTCTGACAATAACCCAAGAAAAACAGAAATTATAAATTAATGATTTAAGTAACCAAAAGATTTATTAAGGACTTAGAAACTGCAACACTGATCCCCTAAATTACAGGGAAATGAAAACATGTATAAAATCACTTCATACCAAAACTTTTATTTTGAATTAGCCAGAAGAAATTACTTATAAAGTAAGAAACTAAGAAGAGAGATTCAGTAAAGACAGAAAGTTGAATGAATAGAATAGAAAAATAGAAAGGACAAAAAAATCCAAATGTTACTTTGACAAGATTATGAATGATACCAAAGACAAAACTGCAGACAAAGGAGAGATTCAAATAAGCACAAGCAATCACCTAAAGAACCTGGCAAAAAAATCTGAAACCTAAAACAAATGGAAAACTTCTAAGCAAATGATAAATTAACAACACTGCTTCAAGCAGCAGCAAACTTAAACAGGCCAATTATTATTATGGAAGAGATCGGAAAGGTGATAAAAGCGCTACTACTACAAAAAGAACTAGGACCAGATAGGTTCAAAGTGGAGTTTTGTTTAGCTATCCTTTATTCTGATGTTACTTTACCTATAGAGTGCCAGAAGATAAGACTGAAAATTCCCCAATACATCAAATAAAACCAAAATGTTATATAACCTTGATCAAAAATGAATAAGAAGTTTTGTTTTAAGTTTTTTCATTTATTTTGGGACAGAGAGTGACAGCAAGTGCATGCAAGCAGGAAAGGAGCATAGAGAAGGGGAGAGAGGGAATCCCAAGCAGGCTCCACACTGTTAGTGCAGTGTGCGACTAGGGGCTCCGTCCCATGAACCATGAGATCATAACCTGAGCTGAAATCAAGAGTTAGACGCTTGGGGCCCCAGGGTAGATCAGTCAGTTAAGAGTCCGACTTAGGCTCAGGTCATGATCTTATGCCTCGTGAGTCTGAGCCCTGTGTGGGGCTCTGTGCTGACACCATGGAGCCTGTACCCTGCCTCAGGTTCCGTCTCTCTCTCTTTGCCCCTCCCCCATTCACACTCTTATCTCTCTCAAAAATAAATAAATTTTTTAAAAAGAGAGAGAGAGACATTTAACGAACTGAGCCACTAAGGTAACCAAAAAAATGATCAAGAAACTTTAAAAAACGGGGGGTGCTTGGCTGGCTCAGTTGGCAGACCATGTGACTCTTGTCCTCGGGGTTGTGAATTCAAGCCTGACATTGGGTGCAGAGATTACTTAAAAAAAAAAAAATAATAAGTAAAATCTAAATGTTTATTTACTTTTTGAGAGATAGAGTATGAGCAGGTGAGGGGCAGAGAAAGGGAGACACAGAATCCCAAGCAGGCTCTAGGCTTCATGCTGTCAGCACAGAGTCCAACTTAGGGCTCGAACTCTCAAACTGTGAGATTACGACCTGAACCAAAGTTGTACACTTAACCGACTGAGCCACCCAGGCGCCTTCCAAAAAATAAAATCTTTAAAAAAAATCAATCAATAAAATGTTTTACAGTCAACAAAAACTATTCATTACGGAAAAACCAAAACAGTCTTTGAAAAAAATAGCTTGAAAGCTTATTTCCAGGAATAACCATAATTATCTAAGATATATGTATGTAACTTCACTTAACTGAGATATTGTGTAATGGTTTTTTAATTACTTTTTTGAGACAGAGTGTGAGTGAACGCGAGTGGGGGGCGGGCAGAGCGAGAATCCCAAGTAGGCTCTGCTCTGTCAGCAGAAAAATCCAACGTGGGGCTCAACCTCATGAACCCTGAGATCATGACCTGGGCCGAAATCAAGTCAGACACTTAAACCAACTGAACCACTTAGGCGCCCCTGAGATCATATTACAGTTAAAAAAACATTAAGAATATGAAGGGACAGAGCTTACCAGTTTTAAAAAATGATTAAATTCATGTCATGTACTTGAAAATCTAGATATCTGCATAGCTTCCATGTAATTTTCCAATTTTGGAAATCAACATATTCAAGAGTGGTTAAGAGGACAACTCTGGAGCCAAACAGTATATTTGCATCCTGGCGGCACCATTATTAGATCTGTTATCTTGAGCAAGTTACTTACTGTTCTGGGCCCTCCTCATCTGTAAAATGGGAATACTTACAATACCTAGCAATATCTAAAGAAGTTAATAGTCATAAAGCACTGACTACTGTACCAGCACTGGAGAGATGGTAGTTGGCATTACTGTTAAAACTGAATATAAGAGGGGCGCCTGGGTGGCGCAGTCGGTTAAGCGTCCGACTTCAGCCAGGTCACGATCTCGCGGTCAGTGAGTTCGAGCCCCGCATCGGGCTCTGGGCTGATGGCTCAGAGCCTGGAGCCTGTTTCTGGTTCTGTGTCTCCCTCTCTCTCTGCCCCTCGCCTGTTCATGCTCTGTCTCTGTCCCAAAAAATAAATAAATGTTGTAAAAAAAATTAAAAAAAAAAAAAAAAACTGAATATAAGAGAATGCTCATATAAAAAAGGCCTCTAAACAATCTGGTTACCAGAGGGGAGAGGATGAAGGGGGATAAAACAGGTGAAGGGGATGAAGTGGTACAACTTCCAGTTACAAAATAAACAAGTCATGAAGATGAAAAGTATAGCAAAAGGAATATAGTCAATAACATTATAATAACATATGGGGACAAAGCACTGGGCTGTACACTTAAATCCCTGGGTTGTACACCTAAAACTAGTATGTCCATCATACTTTAACAATAAATATTTGACCAGTTTGGGTCAAGATTAAAATGTCTGTTGGACAACTACATGGAGATACTACTGAGTAGGCAGTTATTTATATGTACCTGGAGTTCAGGAAGAAAGCCTAAATTACAGATATAAATGTGAAAATCACAACACATACATGGTATTTAAAACCATGAGCCAGATCGGATGACTAAGAAAGTGAAGTATAAGAAAGTGAAATAAACATTAAAGAAGAAAAAGCTCAGACTAAACTCTGAGGCACTTCAGCAGGAAGATCTCAAAATTTATGACTCAGACAAATCCAATTTTACTACTAGAAAAACAACTCAAAAGTATATTTACTATATTCAAGGTACGGCTACTGATCATAGTTATATGTGAAAGGTGAAAGATAATATTTTTCAACTTACTAAGTAAAAAGATCTGTAATTATATATGAACACTCACTGGACAAGCTGTAATAATATTATATATACTAGAAAGACACATGCATTGTTTTTACCTAGTGAGCAGTTACTTTGCATCCTTCCATCCGTTGAACAACGTAACATGGTGCCAACCACACGGCCTCCCACAACAATGACACGCACATCCCGTCCATGAGACTCTTTAACGTACTTCTGGAACAGGTATGGAGCTTCATGGCGAATAAGATGGCTTAGATCAGCCAAATGGTGCTTATCTCGAGCCAAGAAAACAGCTTTGCCTATGATTGAAAAAGAATAAAAAACACATGTAAGTCATTAAACTGCGAGCAGTTGATATGTATGACCTGCATCTTCTTGGGTCCCAACCTGCTCTTTCAGAATCTATTAATTTTTAACCAAAGTAACAGTTATGGTAGTTATTGAAACAATGCAAAAATGTATTTAAGATAAAGTTAATAATCTCCTACCACTCCCTTAATTCCTACAGTAACCTAGAATTTATTTCAGTAGATGTTGTGAAGTAGAGGTCCAAGGTTTATATTCCTCCATGTGAGCCAATAATGCCAGCCTCGTTTATTAGCAAAACATTTCCTTCTGAGAAAAACCATGTTTTATAGGGATATCTGGGTGGCTCAGTTGGTTAAGTGTCAACTCTTGGTTTCAGCTCATGGCATGATCTCACAGTTCATGGGTTTGAGCCCCACATCAGGCTCTGTGCTGACAGTGCAGAGCCCGGCTTGGGATTCTCTCTCTCCCTGCCCCTCCCTCCCCTGCTCGGTCTCTCTCGCTCTGAAAATAAATAAACAAAAAAAAAAATTTAAAAGACTATGTCTTATATATTATTACACAATATATACAAAATTTGCATAGGGTAAAAGAGCAGTATGTTACTATATACCTAGTTTTATTTCCAAGTTCACTAGTCCATTCCACTGCTCTATTTGTCAATTTTTATGTCAAAGGAAGTGGCTATTTAATTTTTTTAATGTTTATTTTTGAGAGAGAGACAGAGTGAGAACAGGGAAGGGGCAGTGAGAGAGAGGGAGAGAGACAGAATCCAAAGCAGGCTCCAGGCTCCGAGATGTCAGCACACAGCCCAATACGGGGCTCAAACTCACAAACTGTGAGATCATGACCTGAGTCAAAGTTGATCACAAACTGAGCCAGCGAGGCGCCCCAAAGAGCTATACATTTCAACTGATAAGGCTATTGTCTAGTCAATAACCGTGAGGAAATACAAAGAAAATAATAAGAGCATTGATCAGATTAAGAAAAAATCTATTTTGTATCATCACCCTTATTAATTCTCAAGAGTAATTTCAAAATGATGTGCCATAGTGACAACTCATACGCACCTCTATGACCCCGCGTATTCTTCACTACCATTGGAAACTCCAGCACTTCTGCTTCATCGATCATTTTAGCAAAATTTTCATGACCACCTGGTTTGAGTAAAAAAGAAATTTAAAAAGAATAGTAACAGAGGTGTTTTGTGGTGTTATCTATGCTAAAGTCGGCAACACAGGAGATAGAAGGTAAGAACCTGATGGCTACATTTTGTTTTTCTTAGAGAAAGTAATAAATAAAAGTTGAAAATACAGTTAAACATCAGTTTAAAACAACACCTTTTAAAATGGATGAAAGTTATCTTAAATTATAAATATTCTAATATCTAACTTAAGGAAATTATCTTTCAGTTAAAACAAAATTTCCTAGTTCTATACAATTTTTCATATTTTTATCCTTTAATCTTCCACTACACAAATAACAAAACCACCAAGACCTACTTTAGTGTAGTTAAATTCCAGTTTTAATCTAAAGATTAAAGAATCTCAATCTAAAGATTAAGAAACAGAAGAATGAGTCTGCTTAGAAGACTCACTCAAGGATGAAAAGATGCTACGTGTGTTCTATCCCTCTCAAACACACAAATTAATGTTTCATATCTCCATTATGAATCAGAGTTCTTTGTATACTACGGCAGACAGTACCCATGAGTTAAGTTTTCTTCTGTTTTTACTGCCCAGGAACAAATGATACAGTAGCAAAATCAGAGCAAAAATGAATTGTGGTATCAGCCTGGTGACGTAAAAAAAATTAAACCAGGAAAAAGTTCATTAAGCAACTGCAGTAGCATACATTTGCAGCCTAGAGAAATTAAGATGATTCAGTCCCCAATTTTAAACTGTCAACATGAGAACTTGGGTAGTATTTGGTAATTGGGCTAACACTTTTCTCCTTTCCATTCTCTTAAAATCAGAAGTGTAGACCCATGATATAAGCTATAATATAATATTCCAAAAGCATCTGACAGAATTCTCGAACTATTCATATTGTCTCTTCTTATGCAATTGCTAAAAACAGCAACTGTATCAACACATGTCATACAGACTTGGGGAGTACCCTTCTTTAAAATACTAATGGTAGGAATAGGATAGGGATTTCTTTTTAAAGCTTCATTAACTCTCTAAGCATACTACTGGACATTTATTTGAAAAAATGTCTTTATGGAAAATTGCAATGATTTATAACAAATTTGATCCTTTCTAATCTAAAAGAACTGGACAGGCAGGAAATACATTAACATAATATTGTTTACGGCAGTGTTACTCAAAAGTGTTGTCCAAAAACCTGTGCCTGTTTATGACTTCTCTGCTACTGATATGTAACCAAGTAAATACAAAAAGAGTAAACTCTGGAAGCTTTTATAACAATCTGGCATTTCTCAGACTTTTTTTTATCATATTTTGTAAGAGTATTGATACACAGCATACTGGTCTTTAAAGAAAAAAAAAGATCCTTTACTTCTACCATGGTTTTGGAAGCACTGGTTTTAAAGTATACCTATTACAGTGTCATTTCCTTAAAAAATAAGAGAAAAAAAACTTCAAAAAAAAATTATCATGAAAGTGCTAATAAGGATAAACAGATATTAAACAGAGATGTATCGAATATTACAGCCTATGAGATCTGGCCCACTGCCTTTTTTAAATAATAAAGTTTTATTGGAGGACAACAACAGTAATTTATTTAAGCATTATTAATAAAGCTCTCTGACTACAACAGCATTACTGAGAGCACAAGAGTGAACTTACAGCCTAGAAAGCCCAAAATAGCTAAATCCACTCTACCAATATCACAGAACTAAATCTTGACACATGACTCCCTCTCTCTCTGCTCCTCCCCTGTTCATGCTCTGTCTCTCTCTGTCCCAAAAATAAATAAACGTTGAAAAAAAAATTTTTTTTAAATAAAAAAAAAATAAATCTTGACACATGATTCACAATGCTCCTGCCCAGTTTGTTAACACTGAAAATTACTTCTGTAAGAAGTTCTTCCATGTTCACAAATTTCCTTGTATCACATAACCCTCTTAATTTAGTATGCCTTTCAAAACCATCAGTGTTGTAAAACTTAGACTATAAATTCTTACTAGCGAACTTACCATAAGAGAAAGTATCTGGCAGAGGAACACCATGGCCCGCCAACTCTTGAAATGTCCAGAACTTATTAACACAGTTCAGGATGGCTTGAGGTCGGTTCATCAACCGGCATCCCATCTTCTCTAGATGGCGCAAAACAGTGATGTCACTATCACTCTGCACCCAAGGGGTTGGTACTCTCACTACCACCACCTGGGGGTAGGCAGTAATTAGTTCTCCATTGATCCGTAGACCTGAAATACACCCCAATGAAGCCAAAACCATTAAAGGGAATATACCAAAATATACTAGACCTGGGCTCACAAAACCAAATATACCATTTTCACCAGAACAGACAGACATTCTTCCTTAAATTATATTCCTTTATAAGAAAAAAGAAAATTTAATGAGAAGAATTTCTGCAGTGGTTAAATAAATTATGGTATGTGCCAATACAATGAAATACTACATAGCCTTTAAAAAAGAAATTCACAGAAGCACCTGGCTGGCTCAGTCAGAACATACAACTCTAATCTCAGGGTGGTAACTTCAAGCCCCATATTGGGAGTAGAGCTTACTTATTAATAAAAGTTAAGGGGCGCCTGGGTGGCTCGGTCGGTTAAGCGTCGGACTTCGGCTCAGGTCATGATCTCATGGTCCGTGAGTTCAAGCCCCGCGTCGGGCTCTGTGCTGACAGCTCACAGCCTGGAGCCTGTTTCAGATTCTGTGTCTCCCTCTCTCTTTGCCCCTCCCCTGTCCATGCTCTGTCTCTCTGTCTCAAAAATAAATAAACGTTAAAAAAAAAAATTAAAAAAAAAAAGTTAAGAAGAATGTCATAATCTCTATGTTCAAATGTAGAAAAAAATGTCCAGATACATAATGCTGAGTTTAAAAAAATCAAATCTGATGTATGGAATTGTTGAATCAATACACTGCACACCTGAAATTAATATAAAACTGTAACTAGAATAAATTACTGGAATCAGAATAAAATAAAAATAATTCTGTACCAATTATGTTCATTATGTGTTCATTTCAGATAAAGCAGGAAATAAGAAAGTTGCCTTCTTTTATGATTTTACTTATATGTTTTTAAGCCCAGGTGATGCATTTTATTAAACACCTGTTTACATTTATTTTTAAGAAAAACAAAAAACAAATCTGAAAAGTTTTGTATTTACATATGCATAGAAAATGTATGACCTGATAAATGATATAGGTAGCTTTCTCTAAGTGTGAGTGGGTGGCAGTGCAGGAAGACAAAGGTAGAATGGGCAACTTCACATTTTGCTCCATGCAATTCTCCATCTTCTTTAATTTTTTTTTAAGCGAGGACATTTATAATTAAAAAAAGATTTTAAAGAAAGTTTTGGGGCACCTGGCTAGCTCAGTTGGTACAGCATGTGACTCTCGATCTTGGGGTTGTGAGTTTAAGCTCCACATTGGGTATGGAATTTGCTTACATATAAGATCTGTAAAAAATAAATAAAATAAATAAAAGTTTTTTGGATGTTACCCAATACCATTCTATTTAAAGAGGTCCCAAATAATAAAGGAACAAAGTATCTATATGAGTTGTTCCTTAAAACCTATTTTCTTTAGGGTGCCTGGCTGGCTCAATCAGAAAAGCCTGTGACTCTTTATCTAGTGGTTGTGAGTTTGAGCCCCACATTGGGTGTAGAGATTACTTAAATATAAAAAAAAATCTTCAGGAAAAAAAAATCTGTTTTCATTTAAAAATAGCATATGCTCTTCAGGGGTGCCTGGGTGGTTCAGTTGGTTAAGTGTCCAACTTTAGCTCAGGTCATGATCTCCAGTTTGTGAGTTCAAGCCCTGGACTGGGCTCTGTGCTGACAGCTCAGAGGCTGAACCCTGCTTTGAATTCTAGGTCTCTGTCTCTCTCTGCCATGCCCCAGCACATACATACTTTCTTTTTCTTTCTTTCTTTC